GCCCCTCTTCCCCTGCGGCCCCGGCCACCCCCAGGGCCACTCACCTGTAGTCAAAGAAGAGCTCTTCGCCCGCCTGAATCGCCCTCTTGGCGAAGATGCCGATGCGGTGATCCCCGTTCACCATGACCACTGCAAAGCGCCAGAGGCAGAGGCCGCGTCACCGTGCGGACAGGCACGGCCGGGAAGCAGCGAGGCGGGCGGCGGCCGAGTGGCGGACCTGCCCGCCGGCTGGCTGGCTTGTGGGGGACTCGTGTCGTTCTATGGACCGAGCCCGGGGCCTCAGGCTCGCGGGGCTGATGCTCCCTGCTGAGCTACCAGACTCATCTTTAAACACGTCTCTGGGAAAGTGATGGCCATGTAATTGGTGAAGCAAAGCAGATTATAAAACTGAGAAAGAGAGGCCTAAAATGATACTAGATGCAAAAAAGCCAGTGACAGACAAGCTGAACAACAGTGGGGATTGTGGGAACAGTCCCACCCCGAGGCCCTGGGAGCCCACCTTTGGCGTAGCAGTTGGGGTTCACAGAATGGTTTGCAAATCGGATTTTGTTTCCTTTCCGAGTAGCATCCACCACAAAATCTGTAGAGGGGACCAAAGACAGCCATGAACGTCCCCAAAGGTGGGGCACATGCCTTCGAACCCAAAAGTCAGGCAGAGGCCAGGCGTGGTGGTGCACGCCTGTCATCCCAGCATGGGGGAGGCTGAGGCAGGATTATGAGTTCAAAGCCAGCCTGGGCTACAAAGTGAGTTCAACACCAGCCCAAATCACACAGTAAGACTCTGTCTCAAAAAAAACAAAAAGGTCATTGGCAATGTTTTTTGTTTTTGTGTTTGTTTTTTCCTCTTTTTGAAACAGGGTCTCGCTATGCAGTTCAGGCTGGCCTTGAGCTCCCTTTGTAGCCTAGGCTGGTCTCGAACTCACAGCGATCCTCTTGCCTCAACCTCCTAAGTGCTGGGATTACAGGCGTTCACCACCCACTACACCCGGCTGTTGGCCATTGGCAGTGGAGCCATCCAGCTGCGTGGGCGTCAGCCCATGGGCTCAGAGGACACAGCAATCTGTCCTGGGGGGTCCCCTCTTTGGAAGTGCCCCCTTGCCAGGATTATGGATCCCCTCCTCCCCTGCTGGGTGGGACGGTCAGGGGACTGAGCCCCCATCCTGCACACGTTTGTGAGGCTCAGCTCAGGGGAGGGAGGCTGCCGCCTGGGCGCACCGTTGTTGAGGTTGAAGAGGAAGCTCGACATGTACTTGTCGTAGACCTTCCCTCGCCGGTCAGCCTCGTCCTGGGAGATGAGCTGGGAACAGAGGGGACAGGTGAGGGGTGGCCTGGGGGGCGGAGCTGCGGACGCTGCAAGGCGGGGCCACTGTGCCCTGGGGGCGGGGTCCCCACAGCCAGCTCAGGCCTCCACCGGAGCTCCGCGGGCACTCACCTCGCCGCAGTACTCGGAGATGAACTCGTTCTTCTGCACCGACTCCTTGATGAAGGTGCCCCAGCCGGCCACATCCGAGGGGGCCAGCAGCAGGTGCTGGGGGACAGGGCGGAGCTGAGCGGGCGCAGGGCGAGTGGGCATGGCGGGCAGGGGACAGGAGCCCCCTCTTCCCGGAGGGAGGCAGGAGCCCAGTCACACCTTTTTGAGGCCGCGCTGGATGCTGCAGTTCTTGCAGGACACCACCTTGGCGTCCCAGTGGTCCGAGGCCCCGCAGGTGAGGCACAGGTCGGGGTCGCACTCGCGCACCGCCAGGTAGCAGGGGCACTGCTTGGTGTTGCACTGCGTCTTGCAGCGGCAGCCGGGGAAGCGGTTCTGACCTGGTCAGGGAGACCGGGCAGGTGAGGGGGACAGGCCCGAGGGGCCCAGGGAGACTCGGGCACAGCAAAGCAGTACGGTGAAATGGCGAAGCGCCGGGCCCAACCGGGCGGCTCCTGACTCCCATCACCCGACACTCGCGTTGTCCCTGGAGCCCGCAAAGCCACAGAAGCAGGTGCGACCAGCAAGCGACGCCAAGAGACTCCCCCGAGCGCCACTGGGCCGGCAGGACTGGGGGGCGGGCACGCAGGAAAGGAAATCAGCGCTCCTCACTGCCAGCACCCGCCATCAAAACAAGTGTCATTCTGAGAGGCCGAGCATGCGCGCTTGCAGCGCCTCGTCCACCCACGGCCTTCTTGGCGCCGCCTGCGGTTAGATGCTATCTGCCCTGGGGAGGAGGGGCAGACCAGGCCGGGGACACCAGCGCCTGCAAGCTGGGGCTGCTGCCACCTGCCCGGCCCCAGGACCAGAGGGGCGGAACCACTCTCGGCCTCTGCTGGCTCCCTGGCCCTTACCTCCTGTTTGGTATTAAAACTCTAGCTAGGGCTGGGGATTTAGCTCAGCGGCAAAAGCGCCTGCCTGGCAAGTGCAAGGTCGTGAGTTCGGTTCCCGGAACCGGAGAACCCCCCCCGCCCCCCGCAAAAAAAACCCTCTAGCTAGTAAAGAAAAAAGATATAAACAGAATTGTGACTGCAAGTTTTAAATAAAAAAAAAAAATCACTTGAATCAGTCGAATTCTCAAGCCCAAGTGATCCTCCTGCCTCAGCCTGCTGAGGGCCCAGACTACAGGTGTGCCACCAGGCCTAGCAAGAGGAACCTTTAAAACAATTTCCTGAAAAGGGAAGCTGACTACTGAGGAGGAAGATTCCCTAGCATCTTGGCTCCCCCGGGAGAGCGCGCTAGGACAAACCCGGTTTCTGCTCTGTCGCTGCCCGCAGAGCCATCTCCTGAAGGCTTTCGTGAGCTACACAGCCAGGCCTGACCCCCAGTCACAGCTCCTGGGGAGGCTGCAGCACGAGGACTGCTCAACCGTCAGAACTCAGGCCAGCCCAGTCAACACTGAGACACACCTCTTTATTTTTTAAAAAATGAAAAATTTTTTTTTGCTTTTTTTGAGACAGGATCTCGATATGTAGTCCAGGCTGGCCTCAAACTCGAGGTAATCCTCCTGCCTCAGCCTCCTGAGTGCTGGGATCACAGGATTACCACGTCTGTGTGTCTCTTGAAAAACAAAAAACAGAACAGTAACAAGAAAACACCAAAAATCCAACACTTCTCCAGATCTGTAGCCGCTCACTTCCGGGTCAAGCGTCCAAACCAGCTACTGTGCAGAGGGCAGAGGGCGCCAGGGCTCTTACAGTCTGGGTTGCACTGGCAGAACTTCTCGCAGAAATTCTGGGTCATGATGCAGGGGCAGGTGCTGTCACAGGGCCGGTCCGGGTGGTCGCAGGGCTGGTAGTTGTACACTTGTGTGGCGCTGTTGTCTGGGAAAGCAGGAGGAGCTGCCTGATGTGCCCTGGCCCAGGGCTGCCTCCCGCTCCCGCACCACCCTCCTGCCGCAGGTCGTCTGGGGCCTGCAGGGACTGAGGGGAAGCTGAGACCACAGGCCCCAGGCTGCCCTCCAGCGGGCCCAGGGCTGCAGTGAGCTCGGCCGGGGTGGCACGGGCCTGGTGGAGCCTGCGGGAACTGTGGCATGCCACAGTGCAGCTGCAGGGGGCAGGCTGGGCCTCAGGCTGAGCTGGTCCCTTGTACCCCGCTGGAACCTACCTTTCTGGGGTTTTTTGATGGTGGGGTGGAGCTCAGGCCTTGCCAGTGCGAAGCACGGCCAGACCCTGGCCACACGCAGCCTGGCACTTACCTTTCTTCAGCTGAATTTTCCTGCAGTGCGCGGCCCACAACCTGAGAGAGAGAAGGGAAGGCTCGCCCGGACCTCAGGGCTCGCAGACGCAGGGCGTGGGCTGGGGGCAGCAGAGCACCCTTCCCGCGTCCCCGACGGGGCCCCCACCGCACACACCAGAGCCCACTGAAGTCCAACGCCGTTCCACATCAAAACCTAAGCCTCCCCCAAACACAGGCACATAAGGAGCAAAAGCACAGACAAAGCCAAGGCCAAGCCACCCGTGCATGGTATTTCTCATGCTGCTAGGGATTGAACCCAGTGCCTTGGCACTGAGCGAAATTCCCAGCCCTACCCTTTATTTTTTTTATCTTGACAGAGTCTCACTACATCACTAAGCTGCCCAGGTTGGACTAAAAGGAGGGATCCTCCTGCTTCAGCCTCCCAGAGATCACAGGCACAACCACTACGCCCGGCCTACAAGTCTATTATGCTATTGTTTCTGTCTGTCCCCACGTCTGCAGAAGAGGAGATCTGGGGGAGTCGCAGACTGCAGGACTGGTACAGGGGCACCACATCCAGGAGCTGAGCCGGCCCCCCGCCGGGGTGACAGTCATTTGGGAACTGAGCCGGCCAGAGGGCAGTGTTATTACTCAGCTCCGAAAGCAGCACGTGCCTGGCCCGGAGGAAATGAGTAAGCTCGGCGAGGCAAGAGGGAGAGGCGGCACACAGCGCGGGTGCCCCGAGGTGTCCGTGTGCTGCCGGCCAGGGCAGTGCGAGGCCAGAGGGCGCTCAGGCCCCTGCGGGGGACGCCCCGGCACACCCCACGAAGGCCTGCGATGCCCGCGGGTGTGGCCTCAGCCAGGTGTGGGCCGGGGGCTGGGGAGGCGCCGCTGGGAGGAGCCCCCCGACGGCCCCCGTGCTTGCCTGTGTTTCCTCTTCTTCTTCTGCGAGGGGTTCATGAGCTCGTCGGTGGGCAGCTTCAGGATGAGCGATTCTTTCACCGCAAACTGGAAGACCTGGCAGGGAAGTCGGCAGGTGGTCACAGCTTCTGCAGCCTGGGGCCAGGCAGGGATGGCGCCTCCGGGACACTGGGTCCCTGACTGTGACGTCACCCTCTGCTGCCTGGCTGAGGCGACAGGGGCACAGGTGCCCTCACGCTCCCAGCTGGCCTCCCACAGCACAGGCCTCTTCTGGAACAGGGGCCAGGGCACTGGGCAGGAGGCTGAGGCAGTGGCCTCTGGGTCGAGCACCAGCGCCCCCTGCTGGAGCACCACCTTGTTCTCCCGCCCAGCGCAGAGCTCTGCCACTCAGTGGCAGCCCCAGGCCTTCCGTTCTCAGACCAGCTAAGCTGTCGGGGCCTCTGCATCCGAGGGCCGGGTGTACAGGGTGCACCGGGGAGTCTGCGCTCCAGCAGGAGAGCAAAGGCACTCGTGCCCGACTGCTCAAAGCAGTGAGGTTGCTTCCCAGACACAGGCGCTTGTGTGAATGCCAGGCCTGCTGCCAAGAGGGGCCACAGGGGCCCCTCGGGAGGTCAGGGGCCCAGACAGCAGGCCCAGCCCTGGGGATGAGCAGGGGTCCCTGGGGTCCCTTCCTGGCACAGGGTGTGGGCTCAGAAAGGAAGTCAGAAGCCACAGGGAGCAGCCGTGAGGCACTGCCGCCGCCCGGGAGCCGAAGGCAGAGGCAGAGGCAGAAACAGGAGCAGGCAGGGAGGCCGAGGGGGACCAAGCCTGAGGCTCACAGCCCGAGAAGGCCGAGGGCGGCCTGGCAGGGGCGGAGGGGCGGCACCTGCTTGCACGTCTTTGTGCCCAGGAGTCTGGCGATGGAGCAGAAGTTGTTGAAGTAGGTGCCATGGAAGACGCGGAACAGAGACTCCTCAGCCCCTGTCCACTCCACGGGCTCCGACGGGGCTTCGACCACGCAGAGCTGGGCAGGCGCGGGGCTGGCCTTCTGCTTCGTGGGTGTCTGGCAGCGCGAGTTGGCCTCTGGGCAAAAACGGGCAGAGAGAAGAGGGCAGAGAAGAGGGTGATGCCGCTGTCAGCAGCACGGAGTCACAGTCAGAAGCACCTGATTCCACTTCAAGATGCACCAAGAGTTAGGAATGAAAAGATTACCCATCTCTACTGCCCACAGGGCACTTGTGAAAAGAATTAACGATTCTGTTTTGAGACAGGGTCTCATGCTGTTCAGGCCGCCTTCGACTCACTATGTAGCCCAGGCTGGCCTTGAACTCGTGGCAATCCTCCTGCCTCAGCCTCCCAAGTGCTGGGATGGCAGGCGTGCAATCCCACGCCTGGTGGTGGAGGAACAATTTTAAAAAGGTGCAGGTGTTCAGAGTCAGCGGTCCCGGGTCTCCTGGGCTCTCACTGCGGCCAGCCATACCTGAAGAGCTGGAGGCCCAGTCATTGCCCGTGTCCCTGTCACTGTCCCCTTCCTTTGTCTCAGTCACGGCGGAGGTGGAGGCGCTGGGGCAGGAAGCGCTGACTCCGTGGTGCCGCCGCCGCCTGCGCCCGGAGCACTTGGAGCGCGGGTTGTGGAGCACGGCGTACTCCTTGGCGCCCTCCTGCAACGAGACCCGGCCCGCGCTGCTGAGTGCTGCAACCGACCCACACTGTGGGCCGCACCGGGCAGCAGCCGGGCCTACTGCGCCGCCCCTGCCTCCCGCCTGCAGCGCCGTCGTGCGGGGCCACGCGGCCAAGGGACAGTGCGGTGGAACTTACGGATGCACACTGTGCCACTCAGGGCCGCCCCGCAGCCCTCAGACCTCCCGGCTCTACCCACACCTGTCCTCCGCACAGCTGTCTGCAGGTGAGGACAGGGCTGGGCAGGAGGAGGGGCCTCCTGAGAGGAGAGGGGGTCCATCCCACCCCAGCCCTGGCGAGCGAGCCCAGGGACTAACACCACGCTGCGGCCCCGCTACTTTAAATCAGCTTTTCAAAGGTCTCACTAAGTTGCTCACATGCCCGCACTGCGCTTGAACTTGTAACCCTCTTGCCTCAGCCTCCTAGGGTGCTGGGATTGTGGGCATAGCTGCTGCTCTTCACGCTCTGCAGCAATGCATGCCTTTATTTCCATAAAAACCTGTGATGCCCCACTTCTGCACCACTACTGCGTCTTCAAGCTTTGCCGAGCCTGCACATGAACTCAGGAGAACTCTGCCCCACACATTTTTATGGCCCAACGACGACTCGGCTTAATCCCTAAGCTCTTCTCACTGGCGTGGTGCCCAAGACTGTTTCTGGGAACTGCACCCTACTCAGGGATAATGACTCCCCATCACATGGTGTTCAGGGCCGAGGAAGAGCTGCTTTGAGATAAAATGAATAGCCTGGGTCTCTGCTCCAGTGGGAAACACAGAATCTCAAGTATTCCTAAGCAAAATGTTTACCACAGATAAAAATCAAACCCCCAGACCTAATTTCTGTGTTACGGGAAATAGGGGATAAAGGAACAAGTGGTACCCTGAACAAAACAAACACACATTTAAATGTGGCCAGGTGTGGCGGTGCACACCAGTCATCCAAGCACTCAGGAGGCTGAGCAGGAGAATCGCTGTTTTTGCCAGGCCAGCCTGGGCTATATAGTAAGTTCAAGACTCGTCTGAACTGCATAGCAAAACCCTGTCTCAAAAACCAAACCAAACCAAAACAAAACAAAACCAAACAAAAGTCTAAAAGCTGGACTCTCCCCTACAAGACAACCAGTCTGGAGCTACCAAAAAGAAGACTGGTGGACTCATCTGAGATTGAAAACCTGGGCAAGTGTGGTCGCACATGCCTGTAATCCCAGTACTCAGGAGGCTGAGGCAGGAGGATCACTGTGAGTTTGAGACAGGCCTGGGCTACAAAGTGAACTCAAGACTAGCCTGAACTGAACTGCATAGCGAGACCCTGTCTCAAAAAAGACCAAAAAAAAACACTGAAAAGCTGGGTGCAGTGGTGCATACTTGTACAGGCAGGAGGATCACAAGTGTCAGCCCAGCCTGGGCAGTTTAGGGCCTTAGTGACCCTTAGACCCTGAGTTAAAAGAGAACAGGGCTGGTCATGGCCACGCCGCACTGTGCAAAGACCCTGGCTCAGTATCCAGGGCTTCAAGGAGAGGGAGAGTTCTTAGCAACCAGGGGACACAGCACCTCCCCAGACCACATCCTCTCGGCCCTTTATGAGCATTCTGTGGGAAGGAACAAGGCCAAGCTGCACGGATGCACTGCGGTCCAACGAGGTAAAAGCACCCGTGGAGCCGGACAGCAGCTGGGCCACACCTGGCGCTTTTCTTCCTGCGCACCTGGGCCTGCACTGGGAGGCACTCCACCACCGAGCCGCAGGCCTGCCCTTCCATCTCGCACTTGGAGAGAGGTTCTCACTCAGTTACCCAGCTGAGCTTGAACGTGTGCCCTAGCCTCCCAGGGTGCTGCTGTGTGCCCAGCACACGGCTACCACAGACACGGCTACCATGGATGTGGTAACACGTCGGGCGCACACACCACCTCTATAAACCCAGTGCCTGCCTCAGGGCACCACCGCAAGGTGCAAATGGGACAGTGCGCACTGCGGGCCTTGACACACAGCCCGGAGTCAATAAACCAGATGACGTCGTTCTATTACATGACCTCTTCTGCGGTTACCACGTCCCGCTCTCCAGATGTGTACCGAACAGCATGCTCTACCACCTCTCCTTCTGTTATCTCGCTAAAAATACAGCCCCAAGGTACCGTGCTGCGGAATCTAACGCTGACAGCAGAGATGTTACCATGAGGTTTGACACAGGACCGACGGAGCGGTTCTTTCTGCTCTGGGGGAATCGGACCCCACCCCACGCAGGACACGACAAGCAGACATGCGAGGGCAGCCCAGCAGCGGGTCCAGGTGGGTAGTCACCGTGCGATGCTGGCGCCTGTCCTGCTGCTGTGTCACGCACGTGTAAAGGAAGTGAGGAGGGGACCGAGGTACACACGGCCAACACCCCACACTCCGCTCCTTCCTTTTCCGGGAGCTGGGACTTAAACCTGGGCCCACGATGATGCCAGGCAGGTGCCTGCTCTCCCACCCACCTACAGCCCTGGCCTGCTCTGAACATCGCAGCTGACGATCGACTCTCACCCAGGGAGCAGCGGAGCCCGACACTGCGTCCGGCTCACCTGGCCCCTGGTTCCCAGCGCCAGGAGGCTGGAGGGTCGTTTCCATTTCCCACTCCGCTCTGAGCAGCAACAATGCTGGCCCGGCTGAGGAACTCACCAGCAGCAGGAAGCAGTCGGAGCCGCAGGGCTCTGGCTCGATCTTGATCTCCTTGTTCTTCCGTTTGTACACGTTCGGGGTGGCGTGGAAAGCTGCAAGGAGGACAGCGGTGTTTCCCGGGCCCAGCCGCGGGGTGAGATGGGGGCAGCACTGCACAGGCAGCCACCGAGAGCCCCCCTGACCTCACTGCCCCTGGCACCCTCTCCACGAGAGCAGGAGCCGGCTCCCGAGGACACACCAGGCGGCACAGGCAGGGGCGGCGGGCGGGGAGGAGGAGCGGCCACTCACGGTGCAGGAAGCAGTCGTACTTGAAGCAGCGGCGGCAGAACAGCGTGTGGAAGGAGTGCAGGGACTGCTCGCGCTGCACGGACTTGGCGTTGGGGCCGTCGATGTTGGGCGTACACTGCGGCGGGAGCGCGTTGGGGTCGGACATCTCCGTCAGCTCCCGGTACCTGGGCGGGAGGGCAGAGAAGCGTCCTTCAGGGGCCGTCCCTGCAGCCAACGCAGCCAACCCGTGTTGGTCCGCACCGGGCCTGGCCCGCAGGCATGGTCTGCCAAGCGCCCAGGCGTCAGGGCTGGTGCTGAGCGGCTCGGAAGCTGTCACAGCGCAGGGCTCAAGCATCTCGGACAGGAAGGGGAGGGAGGGGCCCCCAGGGTGCCGCTGGCGGAGTAAGCGTCTTCCCCTGACGCAGGAGGGTCCTCGCTGTGCCCTGCTCTCTGGGCCAGGCGGCAACTGCCCACCTCTCCTTCATGTCGTCCGGGACGCCGCTCTCCGGGAACATCGAGGCAATGGCACTGAAGATCATGTCATTGGGGAACTGTTTCTTGGAACTCTTTTTGCTGCCTGAGTGGGAAATGATTAAAAAGCAAAAGAACAAATAAGGGGGCTGGGGGTTTAGCTCAGCAGCATAGCCCCTGCCCGGCAAGCACAAGGTCGTGAGTTTGATCCCTAGTACCGGGAGGTGGGGGGGGGGGGAAGAAACCCTCCTGAGTGCTATTTTTTTTTCCTCGCACTGAGGACTGAACCCAGGACTTTCACAGTGAGCTCCATCCACAGCTCTTTTTAAAATTTTTATTTTGAGACAGGGTCTTCCTGAGTCACTAAATTGCCCGGGCTGGGCTTGGACTTGCAATCCTCCTGCCTCAGCCTCCCCAGTGCTGGGATAACAGGCTGTGCTACCATGCTTGGCCTGTCACAGCATTTTTAATGAGAGCTGCTGTGTCAACCTAACATAGTATCGAGCAAATCCACAGGCCCTATTCGAATGTGAAGGAGCGCCGGGCATATAGCTCAGCGGCACAAGTGCCTGCCTGGCAAGTGCAAAGTCCTGAGTTCAATTCTCGGCACCAAAAAAAAAAGAATGTGAAGGAGCCCGGCACCAAAAAAAAAAGAATGTGAAGGAGAAAGTTTTCAAGAAAAGCCCTGGACAGAGAAGAATCCTGTCACGACCCTGCGACCATGTGACAGAGACACTCGTCCCTGAGCACAGTGACAAGCGACCCATGCATAATCAGGCAGTTAAATGAGTCTTGGTGACTTGGAAAAATGCTCACAATTCAAGATTAAATACAGAAGGCAGCACTATCTGTTTTGCGTAACATAAAAACATTGATCTGTATACACTTTTTTTTTTTCTTGGTACCGAGAATTGAACTCATGACCTTGCGCTTGCCAGGAAGGCGCTGTGCTGCTGAGCTGTATCCCCGGCCCCGTGCACATCTTAAGTTGAAGCACACACGGCCTCTGGTACACGATGCCGCTCCCCACCCCCACCCCCATCCCTGCCCTTTCAAACCAGAGTATGGAAAGCTGGGCACGGCGGTGAGCACCTGGAGGCCCACACGCAGGAGGCCAAGGCAGGAGGGCTGTCAGTTCGAGGCCAACCTGAGCTACACAGCGAGATGCTACCTCAAATTAAAAACAGGGGGGTTCTGGGGACAGCGCTGCGCACCCTCCGCGGCGTGTCGCTTCCTCTTCCGCGTCACCGGCAGGTCCTCTTGCCCGTCACCCTGCTTCCCGTCCACGGCGTCATTGTGCCCTTCCTCCTCCTCGTCCGAGTGCTGGTTCAGGGCGTCCACCAGCTCCAGGAAGACAGCATCGCTGATGAGGACGGAGCCAGGGATCATGTCTGGAACCAGGAGGAGGAGGAGGGGCGGTGAGCAGGGCCCAGCACCCCTGGGCCTGCACAGCGGGCTGCTTTCCTGCGACCCTCGGGATCGCCGTCCTGACTGGCGGCTCACCGGGCTTGGCAGGAAAGTGGCCACCGGCCTTACTCTTACTAGGCTGCTTCACTTTCTCAGCCATAGGTCAGCCCTGGGTTTGGGGGCCGAAGTCTTGGAATGTGTGCCAACCATCGAGAGGACACCAGGGACAGTGATAAATGAACTTTACTTGGTTTTGCTGATGGACTGACACTGACCTCTCTAATTCAAAATACTGCTTTGAACTCACTAGGTAGCCCGGGCTGCCCTCAAACTTGTGATGATCCTCCTGCCTCAGCCTCCCAAGTGCAGGGATTACAGGTGTGCCCCACCACACCTGGCAAAACACAGCGTTTTTCCCTAAAATCATGCTCCACTGTGCTGTGCAGCAGCTTGGGAGAGTCTGGGCGCTAGGGGGCGCCATGGGGAAGGACTGCGTCTGCACATGGTCCAGGGCAGCTGCAGATCCCTGCGTCTCTCATGGCCTCCCTCCCCACCACCTTTTCTAGAACCCCCTGCAGTCCCCCGTCACCCTGTAGGTGACAAAGGCTACTGCAATCCACTTCCAGGGCAGCCCAAGGGCTCCTGGTGAGAGCAGCCTTCGGGCACAGGGGCCTGCGCCCAGATCTCCTGGGGAGAGGCGCTCTAGGCCACGCCGCCTGCCAGTGCCACCAGAATGCTGGTCACACAGAGCCGCGACTCGGTGCCCGGGACGAGGCTGCGCCCACCTTCCTCGCCGTGGACTTTGCCGTCGTAGTTGTTGATCAGCTCCTCGATGAACGTCTCGTCCTCCTCCTTCACCTCGTCCCCCATGTAGGGAATATTGCACAGCACCGTCTCGTCTTCCACCTGAAACCAGGCCGCACTGGGTCACCCCAAGAGCCACTTTCCTGGCTCCCTCCGGGCCAACAGCCCCGTGGAGCCCTTCCTGTCAGGCCCCGTGCGCCCTCGGTTCCGACGTCCCTGTGTTCCAAGGATGGTTCTGCTGTTTTAACAAAACCTGGAGCGGAAAGAGCCAAGGGCTTTGCTCTTTCAGGCGGGAGGAGTCCGACGCTCACTGGGACTCACTGGGACATGCCAGCGGCACACAGGGCCACGGCCGCTCACACCCGGACCGCACCCCCGTCCCACCGCGCCTCCGCGTCCTCCCTCCCTCCACCCACGGAGCACCCTGGTGCCCTTCACAGGCGGACAGCCTGGGGAGGAAGGAGCCCTGGGGCGTCGGGGAGGGCTCTTAACAGAATGAGCAGTGAACTCTGCATCCACGCGGTCCGGGGTCATCTCTAGAGCAGACCAACGCCCCTGTGACTCAGGGAGGGCCCAGCCCGTGGGAACAGGCCGTGGACACCTCTGGCGGTGGACATGGAAGGGCTGCGTGCTCGGCAGAGCACCGTCATCTTGCTGCCTCCTCTCCTCTGCTTGCTCCTTTCCCTTCCTTCCCGCCGAGGGCCCGGGATGAGCCCAGTGCGCTCTGAGCAGCTCGGCCGGCCAAGACACCCGCTCTCCGGCCCCAGGTGCAGTACAGCGGTGGCTCTGAGGCTGTTCAGGCAGGACTCGCTTCTGCAGTCCCAGCCCCATTTCAGCCAGCTGCTCTCTGTCACAGCGACAGGAGACAGCAGGGTGGACAGGGCTGATCCCCAATGACAGACCCGAGCAGGGTGGCAAGCCTGGGCGAGGGCTGTGTCTCCACAGCGACAGAGGACATGCACGGAGCTGCTCCTTCCGCAGGGAGGCGACCACCTGCTGAGCCCCTGCCTGGGCTACACAGACCCGGGCCTGGGCCTGGGCCCGGACCTGCACATGCTGCTCGCAGCGCGGGGCAGAGCAGGAGGAAACCAGGTCTCGCCCCATCTTACTCACTCTAAGTACCACCACCGTCAAGCCCGCTTCAGAGCGCACCACAGCCTGACGAGTCACACTGCCCACAAACAGCTGGGTGACGGTCACCCTGTGTGCTGCGCCCCGGCCCTGCCAAGTCCTCCAGCGAACTCTGCCCAGCAGCCCCGGCTGTCCACGCGCCACGCGCTCCTGTGCGTACCATGAAGTTCTGCTGCAGCGGGGACCAGGAGTACATGATGGGGACCAGCGCCACGGTGTTCAGGGACCGCATCAGCATGTGCTGGCTGGCGAAGCTCGGGAAGAGGCTCTCCACGGTGCACTGCGGCCGGCAGGGCGGGACAGGGACTGTGTGACGCGGTGCCCGCCCAACCGCCCAGACCCTCCCGTCAGCCACAGGCACAAGAGCCATAGCCCAGGGGGCAGAGGAGGCCCAGAACTCTCCCTGAGGACCTTCAGGCAGTGGACTTGGACCTGCCGCTCACCAGGATGGGGCTGCTCCCCCAGAAACACTGCGGCACACAACCCACATCCTGCTCTGAGGAAGACAACTGTTCTCATACCCCATGCTTTTTATGTGAAGAAAAAAAAAAAATCTCTTTAAGAAACTAGCATGCTCTCTTTTAAATTTATAGGTGCTGGAGATATAGCTCAGTGGTTCAAGCACCTGCCTGGCAAGTGCAACGTCCTAAATTCAATTTCCGGTACCAAAAAAAAAAAAAAAAGAATTAAACAAAAATTCATAATTTAATCTGAGTATGGTGGCACATGCCTGTAATCACAGCACTCCGAGAAGCTGAGGCAGGAGGATCCAAAGTTCAAGCCCGGCCTAAGCAACCTAGCAACTTAGCAAGGCCCTGTCTCAAAAACAAAAAAAACAAAACTAAACAAAATACAACAAAACAACAGCCAGGCGTGGTGGCACGTGCCTACAATCCCTTGAGAGGTACAGGCATGAGGATCACTCCATCCAGGCTACAGAGTGAGTGAGTTCCAGGCCAGACTGAACCTCACAATGTGACCCTGTCTCAAAAACAAAAACAAACAAACAAACAAAAACAAAGAAAAAAAACTACTTAAGGCGTCAGACAAGTCCAAAAAAGGCTGCTTTGGAGCTTAGACACAAAGCATAGGGCAGCAGCCTGTCAATTCATGTTTTTCTCTGAAGTCACAACTGCACTCACGCCTGAGGAGACGGGGCAAGGCTTACTCCCTAGGGCACTGACTCTGACGCTGCCACAGCTGGACCCACCGTCCTCCTCCACTGCCTCCCCGGCGGGCCGAGAGGAGGCCCCGGCCCGGAAGTACCTTTTTGAGGAAAGCGTGTCCGCTCACAGGCCTCATCGACTGCACAGGCTGCACCCGGCGTTTCTTCCATTCCTCGTTAAGGATTTGGGTTTTTTCTTGAACCTTTGCAAAATTTGCCACATACAGAGCCTAGCAAAGCCAAGGAGAACACTGTTAAGATTTCAAAATGAAAAAAAAAAAAAAAAAAAAAAAATCTCCAGCCCCCGCACAGGAGAAGCCCCGAACTCCACAGCCCGCCGGGCGCCGCTCACCTTGGCGCCCATGTTGGCCTGCAGCCGCCTGAGCTGCCGGAGCCGCATGTACTCGGACTTCACCTTTCGCTTCCAGTAAGTGATGCACTTGGAGGTGGGGGCGCTGGGAATATCCATCGTGCTCCAATCAAGGGGAGACGGAGAAGTCCCGGTTCTGCCTGGAAAGGAGCACTGCTTGAAGTCAAACACACAGTCAGTGGTTCCCAGACAGGGACGAAAACCCCGCCCTGCAAGTGTAGCCAAGTGTCCACTGAGAGAGATTTCAAGGCAGGGATTCCCGGCACATCGTCCCAAAGTGCAGCCCTCCGGCCCCCGCGAACTCGTTCTCATGTGACGGAGGCACTGTGCACCGCACAGGCGGACTCACAGCAACCACCACAGCGGGCCGGGGGTGGGGGTGCCGGGCACGGCTGGGTCCTGAACGGTTCCCAACACCACAACAAAAAGCTCCCTCATGGGTCAGGGACTTGGAGTTCTTGCACACAAGGAAGGCGACTCCCTGCTCGGTCGGGGAAATGCAAGAGCTGCGCAGGAGGGGCCGCTGCCCGGCCGGCCGTCCCCACCAAGCTGCCTGACCTCCTCCAGGGCAGGTCACCGAGCAGGGAACCACCACAGCACACCCTCGCCTCCAGTCCGAAGCAGGACACACGGAGCATCACGGCAGCACAGTAAATCCCTTTCCACTCTTTTGTTTGTCTACTTATTTATTTCTTGTTTTTTCTGAGCCAAGGTCTTGCTATGTACCCCAAGCTGGTCTTGCGCTCGTGGCAACCTTCCTGCCCCAGCCTCCCCAGGGCTGGCATGACAGGAGTGCCCCAGCATGCCCAGCTGTTTTGGTATTTGAATGAGGGTTCAAATTTTCAGGGAACGTACTTCGAGCTACTTTACCTCCCTTGAAGAATACAAAGCGGGAGCCGGATTTTAGGATGTGCCTCTGTCCTTCAGGGAACGGCAAGACAACGGCAAGCAAACGTTCAGCTTTGTAAGAGAACAGACAACGCCTTTACCCAACCAGAGCAGCAGATTTAGACCCTGACCCCTGAGCCCAAGGCTCCCCAGAACTAGAAAGACTTGCTGGTCTCTCCAAGGCGGGATTGAGCCCAGGGACGCACACACGCCAGGCAAGTGCTTGAGCACTAAGATCCATCCCTAGCCCCTTTGATGTTTTATTTTGAGATATGGTTTTGTTAAGTTGCCCAGCCCGGCCTCAACTTCATTATCTTCCTGCCTCAGCCTCCCGAGTAGATGGGATTACAGGTGTGCACCATTGCACCTGACTTCTGCTACCACGATATTCACATGCCAATCAGGTCCCAAAAATATCTGATGCTATTTTGGAAGAGGCTTTTATTTTATTAAAAGCTGCTCTTCCATTCACATGTACACATATATTCACACCATCTCCAAGCTCTTCTGCACCACGCGGCCCACAGGCCCAACTAACAATAAACACAACTGGGGGAGTTCAGTAACATCTACACGATAACACTCTTCTTCTGTATTAACTAGTCAGGCTCCTTAGAAAACTAATTCTTCTCACTTCATCTAGCATTCTAAACTTCAAAAAATATTATAAAAATATTATAAAAAAATATTATTAT